TTCAGATTTTAGGTAGCATTTTTGCTTGTAATTACTCAGTCTTTCTCTCTTATAAGATTTTTTAAAATGAACATAAATTTATTTTGAGAATGTGGAAGGTTATGATTCTTTAATGGGACATTTTAAATCCATTTTACATACAGTGCATCTGGGTTTAGTGGCTAAATTTACTAGCGCTCTTTGTTTGACCTGTTGGAGTGGCTTGCTGTGGTCTGTTATTTTAGACAGCAGCTGCGGGAAGAGGAGTATTTACTGTGCTACCCCAAAGGATTTTGACGTGTGATGTTACTCAGTCACTAGCCATGAAACCTAATCATATTTAGAGAATTTACACACGTATTAATAAATCACAGGACTCCTTCCACCAGGGAAAGGGTGCTTGGTCAGTGGGCAGCTGTTCTTAAGCCGTGCAGGACAGGTTTCACTGGGGGAAAAGTGGTCCCGATCCTCCTCTACATGAGAGGAAATATCCAGCCTGATCTGCGTCAGCTTCCTGTCTGTTCCGACCTTCCATTGGTGACGAGGCAATCTTAGCTCTGGAGCCTCCTTATTCTTACCTTTCCAGACTGAGAACGCTAACTTCTGGGCAGCTTATTTCCATGGCACAGCATAAGCATGAGAAGAAAAGGATTCCTTTCTCTGATTGGAGAAAAGGAAAAGGGAATCAGAATGGGGGAATGGAGAGTGGGACTACACCCTGAGGCAGGAGGGTCCTGCACAGGTGGCCTGGGAGCCCGCCTCTCACAGGAAGTTGTATATAGCTAAACCATGAGGCAGGTATAGGGTGCATCACAATTATGATCAATAATAAGATTGCAGGTATAGTCACTCAGGTGACCTAATGCTAGCAAGGATGCATGAGTGACATCATTAAACTTGGTTAATAATCAATAGTCCTATGTTTGTCCTTAGCCTTAGCAGTCTTAGTCTTACTCTTAGTAGGTGAGACGGGATGGTGAGTCCCTAATGAGACAGTGGAAAATGTCAAAAGGGCTATACCATTATTCCCAAGTCTCCCTTCAGCCCTTAGTCAAGTACGTGAGGCTAACCCTTGGGACTTGGCTCCTACGACGTGCTTCCAGGCATGGCCTTGGTGCATCCTCCTCACCTGCACTGGCCCCCCTGCAAGTCCAGCCCTGCCTGACTGCCTCCTGTAGTCCCACCTGACTTACCTTTCTGTAATAACAGGCTGTGCCTCTGTGGACATATTTTGTTAAGGATCACTGATCCCTGCTGGGAGTGCTTTTGAAGTACTTGTCTCTCTGCACCCAAAATGGGTAGGACTTGGTTCTTGTGCCATACTGGGAACTTCTCTTTCCCTTCTCCACTGTCCAGCCTCGAGAAAGAACACAATCTGCAAGAGAGTTTGGTCCATGCTAATGTTCTCTCCTTTGTGCTGCTGGATTTCAGGACCAATTCCAGAACGGAGAGTCACCCTTCCCTTGGACAGCTGACCTTTGCTTATCTCTGGGCCATATCCACAAACAGGTCTACATTTAATCCTAAAACTCACAAAGGATAAATGTCAAAGGTTTAGCCCCCGCTTACCTGCCCGTTAGTGCTTCGGCAGCCCAGGAGGTGAATTCTTCTTACATCTTTGCCCCTCAAGAATGATGCTGACTGATTTTCATAGCAATGATAAGTTCCCTGAGAACTCCTAAGCTTAACACACACGGGAGGCAAGACAGCAGTTCTGTCTGTGAGTGTGACTCTCAAACAGCTACAGCTATCAAAGCATCAGCGAGAAGCCCACGCAGCTGGATGCTCCAGTCCAATCAACCTTCAGCCTAGGAACCATCTTAAAAACTGCCCTTCTTTCACAGGTGAAATGGATTTTATTCCTTCTCTTATTATAAGATCTTTCTTAATTGATCTACACAAATTTCTGACTAGACTATTTATAGTTACAAATTTAGAAGCTATGAAAGAGTTACTATATACAACTTGATCCAATACATCTGACTGCATCTGGTCTATTGACAATGGCCCTATGTGTGCCTGTCTGCCTGTCTGTACAACTTGTGACTGCTTATGAAACTTAAAGTTGTTTTTGTTTGGGCTAAGCAATTTTTTTTTGAGTTTTGAAGTATTTGTCTATAACTTAAGTTGTCTTATAGCTATCAATAGAGAGACAATGATATGCTTTTTTCCAGAATGCCAGCTGATCAAAATGATATCAAGACAGTTTTTACAGATGCAATACACATTGCCTTGCACAATAACTCAAAAGTCATTCATTGATCAGAAATAATGCCTTAATTGTTTTGATCTGGTTTCTACGGGTCATCAAAATTTTAAATAATTCATTGGAGACCTTTTAGGAGTAAGAAAACTTCTTCTTACTCCTAAAAGTAAGGAGATCTCCTTACATGAAGTACAGATCTCCCCTTCATGAAAGAGAAGCAGCTGCCGGAAAATATTTTCTCCAGCGTTTTTGTATTGTTTTGTTTTGCTGATAACCAGTAATTTCCATGGCCATATGAGAGGCGCATCTCAATAAACATTGCTAATTATATTATTGTAATATTTACATTGGTCATCATCAGCAGACCAAGATTTTGGTGGGAAAAGCAATAACATTTTCGTACTACAAGATACCCTTGGCATAAAACTAAGTTAAAAGAAAAAGATTTTCATATAGCTGTAACATTCCAAATTGATAATTTTCTAATATAATAAGTATACTCATTTCTTCAGGCCATACAAGCCTTCTAAGATGAAAAGCAAAACTTTTCCTGGTGATCATCTTTTCTTTTGAACTCAAATATCTGCCTTTCTCTTCTGCTCCAGCTACTTGTGATAACAGGCTGGAGGGTGGCTGTGACTTCCAGGCCAGCATGGTGACATGCATGGCTAGCTGCACTTCAGAAAGCATAAACTAGGGGCTGGGGAGAGAGCTCGGCTATTTAAGCACCTGCCTGGCAAATACAGAGTCCCGAGTTTGATTCCCAGCATCACATGCCATGCAGGTCCCAGAAACCCGGGTGTACCATGCCAGTCCCAGAACCAGGCATGGTGGCGCATGCCTGTAATCCCAGTGCTGGGGAGGCTGAGACAGGAGGA